AGGGTTTAGGGTTTAGGGAATTGAAACCTTAAACCCACCTCCTCAGCGTTTTCAGGAAGAGGAGCTTAAAATTTGAGAACGAGCCCCCCCCACCTGAACCCTAAAGCCCTAAAGCCCTAATGTAGGGGCATAAGTACCTATACTATTTTGGTGGCTCCTGATTGTAATGATAGTATAGCAGACCCCCAAACCCTATTCTAATTATTAAGGCCCCTACACCTTGTCGAAATCCTTATAGAACTCTTTAAAGGGACCCTTATGAGCCCTGATATACCCCCNNCCCCCCCCCCCCACAACCCTATTCTAATTATTTAAGGCCCCTACATTAAAGCCCGAAGCCCTGTCTCGAACCCCTTAAAGGAACCCTTATGGACCTGTTTAAAGGAGCCCTGATATACTACATTAAAGCCTTAAGCCCTGTCGAGGGAACCACGGCGAGTCTGAGTCCAAGCTGCCCAGCGGCTTCGGCGAAGTCGAGTTCATGGATGCAGTGGGCGCGGCTCTGGCTGGGCTCAGCGGGTTAAGGGTTCAGATTTTAGGGTTTAGGGTTTAGGGTTTAGGGTTTAGGGTTAGGGTTTGGGGTTTAGGTTTAGGGTTTAGGGTTTAGGGTTTGGGGTTTAGGGTTTGGGGTTTAGGATTTAAGGCTTGTTCAGGGTTTAGGGTTTGGGCTCTCGCTGTTTGGTTTTCTGTTTGGGTGGTGTCTTGTTAGGTGGTTCATTGCGCGTTTGGGTTTCTTGTTGTATACTTGTGTTTGTGAGTCACAGCCTTTGAGGCGTAGTAAGCTTACTTTCTATGTAGGCCTTTTTGGGATGTTTTGTATTTTCCCATATTGGGCCTAAAAGGATCTTGTTTAAATATGTTCAGAGGCTCTCAGGAGCCAGCCTTAGTTTAGGACTTAATGGGTTCTGTTGGAGCACTCCCCTCAGCGATGCAAGTCCCTGAATACGGAAACACGAGGAACGACATGGGTAGCTGTGTGACGTGAGATTCACAGGAAAAGCATTGCCAAGAATCGCACGAAGATTGTGAAATTGCACCCGACTACTACAGAAACACCTGTTACATCCCTAAGTCGCGTCCTGAGAAGCCAGCGACCGACGCCTTTAATGCCCGAGACACTAAACCCTGAACCCTAAACCCCAAATCCCCAGAACCCTAAAACCGTAAACTCTACAGGGTCCTACACCCTGAACCGCCATGCTTGGATCACAGTACATCGTCAACTTCGGTCCCACTCAACCCCAAGCGCCGAAACCCTCTGAGCTGTACTTGGAGGGCCAGGAGACTTAGTAAGTCGGTTGGAAGGAGGGTTATAGGGTTTAGAGTTATTGGGTTTAGGGGGTCAGGGTTTAGGGGTAACAAGTAGGGTTATAATTGGGGTAACTCCATTTAGGGTACATAAAGCTCTGCTTATAACCGACTTACCAAGCCCCCTGGGCCTCTGAGTAGGTCCATAGCTCCTAAAGATCCCAAGATCCATAACCTCCAAGCCCCCTGCAACATCCTTAAAGCAACAGTAAGTCGCACATTGAATCACCTTGCTATAATGAGTCAAGAAGATCAGAAGCCTAAGCCCTAAAGGTAGTAACGGTAAACGTCTCAAACTTCCAAGACCCTCGAGCTCTCCAACAATCCTTAACCCTAAACTCTGAACCCTAAACCCTAAACTCTTAACCGTAAATCCTAAACCCTGAACCCGAAACCCTAAACTCTGAACCGCAAATCCTAAACCCTGATCCCTTAGGTCATGGACTGGGTGAATGCCCATACAGTGCTGAAAGACTGTAAGGCTGCCAGTTGGGTTCCAAGGGGGCGGAAAATTTAGAGTTTAGGGGTTTAGGGGTCTAGGG